TCAGGACTTTCTTCCATATTCCATTCATGCACTGACCTGTAACCTCATCCCATGCTGCAGCTCAATATTTACCAATTACACTTTGTAAATTAGACAGTCTCCTACCAATTACATTTCAGGATGCTATCATCCAGCCAAATTCTGAAATAAATATGTTAAGCCTCACCATTTCCTCCAATATGTCCTGGAAATCACGCATCCTTAATATAGCTAAAGCTGCCTCCCGAAAGTTGGGAATGCTGTACAGAAGCCGTAGCTACTTCACTCCTGAGCAGTTGCTCCAAGTATATAAGGGATTCATTCGTCCTAACTTGGAGTACTGCTCTCATATCTGGGGTGGCTCTTCTTCTGTCCAACTATTAGATAGGGTGGAATCAAAGGCATTTCGTCTTATTAACTCTCTTCCTTTAGTCGACAATCTCTCTTCCCTTTCTCTTCACCGCAATGTTGCTTCACCCTCTCTCTTTTACAGGTACTTTTACGGGCAATGTTAGGTGGATTTGGCATCCTGTGTACCGCCGGCAAGTCCGTGAGGCTCGTAACACACATCTTGCCCGCGGTGCCCACCGTTTCTCTGTAGATGTCAGTCACACGAGAATAACCCATATATATAGTACCTCCTTCTTTCCTCACACAGCCAAACTGTGGAATGCTCTGCCTTCTTCTGTGTTTCCATACTTATACAATCTGTCTTACTTTGAAAAGCTGGTTTTCTGGCATCTTCATGGTGTAGATTAACACATTATAACCTTTTTTTTTCTCTATTTTCAATTTCTTTCTGTTCTTTTTTTTTTTCCGTCCCCCAGGCCACGTTGTGGGTCGTTTGACCTGTGCCCGAGCGGGCTAATTCCCGTAAAAAAAAAAGCTATGTTCTTTATACATTTCAAAACGTTGTAGTCCTTCCAAAACTCTCTGAGCATTTTCTCACCTTCAGTAGCAGCAACGGCCTGAGCGCAGGTTGTACGTAAATAATTTCCCACCTTGATCCATGGGTTGGATGATAGAGGTAGTGTTAGGTGGAATGTAAACTACATTAGCATCAGAGTGCAGGTCGTCCAGGTGTGGTGGGTGTCCTGGAGCATTATCCAAAATTAACAAAATCTTGAATGCAATCCCTTGTTGCAGACAATACTCCTTGGCTCGTGGAATGAAACAAGTCAGGAACCAATCCTCAAACAGTACTAGGATCATCCATGCTTTCTTATTACTGCGATAAAACACTGGCAGTGTGTGCTTTCTGATATGTTTAAAAGCCCTGGGGTTCTCTGAAAGATATGTCATGAAGGGCTTTATCTTGAAACCAGCTACATTCCCCCCCAACAGAAGTGTGATTTGGTCCTTGAATGCCTTGAATCCCAGCATTGTTTTCGCCTCTTTGTGGATGTATGTATGTTCTGGTATGCGTTTCCATAATAAGCCAGTTTCATCCACATTAAATATTTGCTCAGGCAAATAATTTCCCTCCACGATGACACGATCTAGCTCCTCCTTAAAAACTTCGGCAGCACCCACATCAGCACTTGCTGCCTCTCCACTCACCTTTACACTGTGCAAACTGTAACGGTTCTTAAACCTTTGGAACCACCCATGATTTGCTGTGAAGTTTTGGTCGCACTCATCTCCTGCCTACTCCTTCAGGCTTTCGAAAAGGCTTCTTGCCTTAGCCTGTAGGGTTAGAAGGCTTAAGGGTACACGCTTTTGTATCTGATCTTCCATCCATATCACAAGTAATTTTTCCATCTCGTGAATAGGACCTTGTCTTTTCTTCTTTATTATTGTTCCCGTTATAGGTGCTGATCCTTTCACTACCTCACGAATATGCTCCTTGTCCTTCAAAATTGTCGATATGGTTGAGTGCGAGAAGCCTAGGTCGCCTGAAATGGTTGCTACCGTTTTTCCATTTTCATATTGCATTGTTATCTTCATTTTCATCTCAAAAGTAATTGACTGTCTCCTTTTCTTATGAGCACCACCAGCACTCTCACTTCTACGCTTGCCAGTCATTCTAAAGTGAATTAGAAACGAAAATATTGTCAGTACACAGCGCGATCACTATCGACAACAATGGCAGCCAAACACCAACTAAGTGCTCTATGGAATGGGTGCTGTAGCCACAAGGAGACCCAGCCCACACAACGCTCTCATACGGGACGGAAACGTTTCGCTAGAAAATATGCGCATCATTCGAAAAAATTTTGGTACCGACTGCAGCGGTCGTATGCGCGGGTGGTCATACCGACGGACGCGGTCGTATGCGCGGGTGGTCATACCGACTGACGCGGTCGTATGTGCGGGTAGTAATACCAACTGAGGCGGTTGTACGTGCGGGTGGTTGTAGGTCGAGTATGTCGTAAGTCGAGGAGTAGCTGTACATTAATCAACACCACAAAGAAGACGGAAAACCAGCTTTTTAAAATGAGACAGATTGTAAGAGTATGGAAACACAAAAGAAGGTAGAGCATTCCACAGTTTGCCTGTGTGAGGAAAGAAGTATGTACTGTAACAGGTTATTCTAGTGTGACCGACATCCACATGATTGTTAAAAGCCCACGGCCTTGCCGGCGGTACACAGGATGCCAAATCCACCGAACATTGCCCGTTAAAGTACTTGTAAAAGAGAGAGAGTGAAGCAACTTTGTGGCGAAGAGAAAGGGAAGAGAGCATATTAACTAAAGGAGGAGAGTTAATAAGATCAAATGCCTTTAATTCCACCCTATCTAACGGTTGGACAGAAGAAAAGCCACCCCAAGATATGAAAGCAGTACTCCAAGTTAGGACGAATGAATCCCTTTTAAACTTGAAGCAACTGCTCAGAAGTGAAGTAGCTACGGCATCTGTACAGCATTCCCAGCTTTCGGGAGGCAGATTTAGCAATGTTATGGATGTGTGGCTTTCATGACATTTTAGAGGAAATGGCGAGGCCTAGCATATCTATTTTACAATTTGGCGGAATGATTGTATCCTGAAATGTGATTGGTGGGAGATCATCTAATTTGGTAAGTATAATTGGTAAATACTGTGTTTTATTCCTCTTGAATTTAACCAAGTTTCTACCTCCTCATTCAGAGATGCTGCATAGATCCACATTGATAGATGAAATAATATCAGCTCTAGAAACAGATCTATTTTGAGAATTAGGGGGAAGGGAAAAATGTGAAGAAGAGTGAAGAGTCGAATCATCAGCGTAAGAATGGAAAGAATTAGTTGTAGTGTTCAGTAAATCATTGATAAAAAAGAAGGAAGAGAGTAGGTGAAAGAACAGAACCCTGTGGAACACCACTATTTGTAGAGAAAGAGCGAGAGATCAATCCCTCGACAACAACTGCCATGGATCAGTTTTCAAGGAAGCTAGAAATTAGAGAACAAAGTGGGGGAGAGAAACCATAAGAGGGAAATTTAGAAAGCAAAGACATGTGCCATACCCTGTTAAATGTTTTGGAGATGTCAAGGGCCACAACAAAAGTTTCCCCATAATCCCTAAGAGAGGATGACCAAAGATGGCTGCAGTAGGAGAGCAGATCACCAGTAGATCTCTCCTGGTGAAAGCCATGCTGGTGATACGATAAAAGAGAAAGGCGTTCAAGGTGACGGAGAAAATGAGAGTTTAAAATATTTTCGAAAATCTTAGAGAGGGATGAAGTTAGGGCAATGGGTTGATAGAAGGCTTAGAATGGGCACCCTTCTTTGGGATGGGCTGAACTGAGGCATGCTTCCAAGAAGAAGGAAAAGTTTGGGTTTTGAGGCAAAGGTAAAAGAGACAAGCAAGCACGGGTGCTAGAGTTTCAGAACACGAGGGTGTATTCCATCCGGTCCATACACCTTGCTCACATCCAACCTGGATAACGCACCAGCAACCCTACGAGTGGAGATTATAGGAAAGTGCATAGGTTCAGTAGAAGGAGTAGAGTTAAAGGAGAATAAGGTGCCAAAGAGCTTGGCTTTATCAGTAGGAAAGTTGGCTATAAAGTTATCAGGTCGGAAAAGAGGGAGTGCAGAAGTTATTACAGATGTTTTAGGTTAAGGACCAGAAGGATTTACAAGAAGAAGTGTTAGTCATATCTGTGGTCTTTCTTTTTATAAAATTCCGCTTGGCCCTACGAAGAAATAACCTTACAACGATTCCTAGAAGTAATGAAAGAGGAGTGGGTAACAGGAGATGGAGATAGTTTCATAACTTATATGCCCTATCTCTCTCCCTACATGCAAGAGAACAGGAGCGATCAAACCATAATTGTAAAGTGAAAGTTTTGGTATAAGATGGGATAAATGCTGTCAGCACATACCGAGGCGTCCCGAGTGGAAAAGCAACATTCAACCCAGGGAAAGTCAGAGAAGAATTCTCGCAAGGATTGCCAGTTTAGTTTCCAATAGTACCATAGTTGGCATTTAGAGTGGGATGGGGTGGTGGTCGTGCCCAATTTGATTTAATAGAAATAGAATTGTGACCAGAAGACCCTAAGGGGGGCAGAAATTGATTATGAATAGTGTGAAGGGTTAGAAGTAATACAAAGATCTAGTATTTTAGTAAGTTGATCGTGTCGATCTGGTACAGGTGTAGTTTGCTAGTGGTAGGAGCTAGTTACTTGCTGCGAGTGGAGCTATTGACATGTAAGGCGCTAGTTGTTATTTTGTAGGCGCTGGTGCCTAGTAACATGCTTCATGTAGACGTACCCTAAAGCCTGTTTAATAGAATGCATTAGGTCACAATATGCATGCACAATGGTGCAGCAACTTCGATTCCCAGCAGCTTTGGCAGTGGGTCTTCCTTGCTAACGTTATTAATAAGGACTTCAGTTGTGTTGCATCTGATCTCTGATATTCTTGTTTTTTGATAATTGTTGAGTGTAACTTAGTCACATATGTGGAGGGTTCACAGGCACCCTAGGGGTCAACACATGCTTGATGACATTTTATGTTCATATCCTGTTTCTTATTTGCTGTAAAATGGGGTTTCAAGACCAGTCGCTTGAAAGTATTCTCATTTTTTTATTTTCTTACAGGTATGCAGTTATTGGAAACTGTGAGAAATCAGTAAAAGACTTCTATGTTGTTCCTCTTGCATCTCATCAACCCATTCCACAAGTAAGTGACAATAGAATATTACCAAAGGGGGATATACGTACACCATAGTACAGTATATAGGGGTTACAGTTACACTCTTTTATATATATATATATATATATATATATATATATATATATATATATATATATATATATATATATATATATATATATATATATATATATATATATATATATATATATATTATGTAAATCCACAATGAAAACGTGGATAAGATAAATCTTGATAAAATCACACGGGAAAATGGAAACAACGGAGCACCTTAGCTTTCGTCTTTATTCAAGACATCTTCAGAGGCAACTGGACTACATGGACAGAGAGAGGCTTAAATATACAGGGTGACCTTAAAAACATGAGGTCATGAGGTCAGGTCATAATGATGTCATCCACTAATCCCCACACCAACACACATGTAGAGGAGCTTAAGAGAAGGGGGGTGACGTGACTAATCAGGTCAGGTCAAAAATAAGGGACCCACAAAATAACTATCATACATCTAGATCAAAGGTTTTCAA